ATTCTGGTGACTTCCATTGGTGTTCATAACAGTCCGGTGAACTTCCGGCGATACTCCGGCGACTTTCCAGCTATACTCTAGCGACTTCCCAGTGATGTTGAACATTCCGGCGAGTCTCTGGTGACCGTCTAACGGAAGTCCGACGGTAGTAGGATGTAACAACGTCTATAAATTAAAATATATATATATAGGATTTTTTAGTAACAATTAAAATATATATAGGATTAGTTGGTGCAAGTATTTTATTTTTGGATTAGATGGGTTTTGAACTTTGTATATGGGACTTATTGGTAAGTTCCTCTTCTATTTTTGTGGTGGCTTTGTGGAAGATTTGGAAAAACAGAAATGGTTTTATTTTTGAAGGAAAATCTGTTAGCCACCAAGAGAGTGCTTAATTCATTTTTGATAACTCTAGAGAAATCCACCAAGCATTCCTCCAACTTGTACCACAACCCAGACCTTCATATACACTTATCAGCTGGTGTTTACCTCCTGTAGGAAGACTGAAACTCAACACAGATGGCAGCAGAAAACTCAGTGGAGATGGGGGCTTTGGTGGGCTGATCAGAGACGAGTGTGGAGCTTGGATGTGTGGCTACTATGGCTGCTTACAACCAGGAACAAGCCTTGAAGCTAAATTATGGGCTCTGTATAAGGGATTCACAATCATATTAAAACAGATGTAATGCATGTGGTGGAACTAATGAACGAGGACATAGGCGACCATTGCCCATTCCTGAATCTGGTTAAAAACGCTTGGATTCTACTCCGAGGTTGCCAATGCACTGTCCAACATGTTTGGAAGGAAGGAAATCTTTGTGCTGATGCCCTGGCAAAATTTGGAGCTCAACAACCTGAAGACATGGTGGTGGTGAATGAACCACCGATTGAAATTCAAAGTCTACTTGTTGTAGACATAATAGGACTATCTGGGAAATGGGCCTAGTCCCGAGTGGTTTTTTTATTTTTATTTTCTGATGTAACCACAAAAAAAAAAGAAGGTGTATTGCATAATTCTTCATCCAAAATATGTTATTCTTATGGTGCATGTTTTCTTGGGTGCTAGCTGTAGAAGTAATTGGAATATAGCAAATATTCCTATTTCTCTAGAGCATCTTTATTAATATAATGTAATAATGTCAAAATTAAATTATAAAATATTTTAAACAATTCATTTTAATGATTTGTCAAATCTCATATACAAAAAGATTTACAACTTATCATGTTCCAAATCTGAAGAAAATATTGTAATTTATATTAATTTTATAATTAAATATAGGATGAATGTTGGAACAATCTTCTGTGTAAATAAAATTAATTGAAACTAATTCAAACAAAATAAAATAAAACTTACAGAATTTATTTATCGAACCAAATTAAAAATAAAAGACCAAGTCGAGTGTGTGACACTCTGTCCTTAAGACAGGTTCGCCCCACTACGGTGCTTACGGTTATGTGGCGTCTATCTCCCAGTATACAATGATCTTAACCAATTTGTAGTAGCACTCAAGACAAATTGTACGGCGAACCAAACCTGTGTTCTAACTCTCTGAAATTTATTCTAAAACTAATTTGAAGAATAATGCACCAAAGATAAAAGTTGGACAGCACAAAGGAATTAATTTCAGACTGTTTTTTCCATAGAATACTGCTGGAAATGTTGGTATATATAGGCATACAAAGGTTGTCCGAACAGGTATGTTACTGTAACTTCAACAGATGCTAAACTCATGAAACATATTTAGTATGGAAACTGGACAGATCTGCAACTGTGCAGATTATGAATCTGTCCAGAATTTCAACAGATCGAAAAACCTATCTGGACAAAATTTATTAAATGTTTTGATCAACCAAAATCTGCTGGAACAAGTCTAGAATAAATAGACCCAAACATGTACTAATTTGAATTGAACAGATGCTGTTTGAAAATCAAACAGATCTGGTAGTTACAACAGATAACTGCACAACAGTTAAATCTGTTCTGGATAGTTTGAATCTGTTCGGGTGCAGCAGATTTTGAGACCTGTTTGGACTGATTAATCTGTTTAGAAATAATGGACTGGAAGAGGTAATATTTGGACAGAAAAAAAAATTCAAATTCAAATTTATTTTGGTTCAGAAAATTAAATTTTCCTGCAAGAATTTTTTTGGTAAAAATTCAAATGAATTTTCTCCAAAAAATTAACATTAGAACCGACCCGACTCACAACCGTGCCCAGACGGTGCGCGGCGCACGCGCGTGTAGTGGTTTGGGCTAAGTTTCACTTTGTCCATAACTCCTTTCTTCTACAAACTTGGGGTGCCTCTTGAGGCCCAACCCAAGTGTTGTAGTCTAGAGCTTCTATATACAAAAAAGCTCTCTTAAAATTTCAATGTGGGACAACCCATTTAAAAGGAAAACCACATTTAAATCTTTAAATGTCCATTCCACGAACTCAAAAACGATGTCAAGTTCCCATTCACTCATAAATGGTTTTGACGAACCGTCTTCACCGTGTGACTTGCCACACGACAACGAATACGTCACCTTTTCGGACCCACCCCAAAAGACGTTTGGGGCCCACTTCATTTTGGGCTCAAAGTTGGCCCAAAATAAGCCTTATAAAACACCATTTTTCCAACAATGAATTCTGCATTTCGCCCAAATTTTATCTTGATCTCTCCTTTTTCTAATTGTAACAATTAAATCCTACACTTGAATTTATGTTTTAAAGTGGTCCTCACATCAACTTAACATTTGTAATTTGAGTAAAAGTTAAAACATGAGAAATTAAAATAAAATTTAAGAGAAAGTTGTAATTACTTATGGTATTTTTGATGATGTAAATATTTTTCATATTTATTGATAAAAAAATAAAGAAGTAAAATTTGAGTGAAAGTTGGAGGAGGAAGACCATAATTTGTCATGCAAAATTCTTCTTATACTATGCTACAATGACATTCATGTGAGCACTTATGTCTTAATTTTATTTGATTTAGGCTTAATTAGCAAGTGTTATCTTTATTAGTTTTATTTTTTAAGTTGAATTAGGATTAATCCTACTATAAATAAGCTTGTAAGTCTTAGGACAACACAATTGTGATATATTATAAACACTTTGAGGGAGAATTTTATTATTTTCTTATAATTCTCGTAATTTTTGGATTCAACATGTTTGAAGAAGAGTTGTGACTAAAGTAAACTTCAGATAAAATAATGTTTGGGCTTATCTCATTGTTATGCTCGGGCTTATGAGACTTATTATTGGTCCTATTTCAATTATTCAAACAATTTATTTTATAAGACCCTCTATATATATCATTATCGAATCGATAATAGTAGCCTTTTTATTTTCAAAAAATAGATGGTCTATTTTAAAAATAGATAAATTGGTGAAAAATCCATACCTATGGGGTCATATATTATTTCGTCTAAAGTTTAATATTTTTTGGTAATAAGGACACACGTTGAAAAGTCGTTCAAAAATTAGTTGGGAAAGTCGTCGATGGCTGGTGGTTGGTAGGGTGGCAGTAAAGTTGATAAATAGGTGACATCGGGCAAATAAATGAATAAATAGGTGACACGAGGACATATATGTGACATTTGGACTAAAAATAATTAAAATATTAAAGATATGTTTAATATTGCTATTACATAGTAAACAATTGAAAAAGGGTAAAATAGTATTTTGTTCATTTATTCTATCCAGTCTGTCCAACCAAACGTTGGATTCACTGAAAATAGTCCTATCCAGACATGTAATCCCATGAAAAAACAAACACAGTATACATATCCAATCCGACCAAATAGTCCGGGGGATTCACAATCCCAGGACTCAAGTCCGATGAATTCTAATCCCCTATTTTCCAGTCCGTCCAATCAAACACACCCTTAAAGAAATAAACATATAGACAAGCTTTTAGACAGAAAATGTTGTTTTTGGACTCATTGGCACAAAACTTTCGGAAGTGGACATCTGTGCTTTTCAAAATACACATTTATCGTCGGGTTTTGAAAAATAAATATGATAAAATAAAAAAATTATAATTATTATATTAAAAATTAATTTTTTTCATATCAAAATATAAACCCAACGAATCTAAACATGACTGTCTAAGTTCATATTTAATAAATTTATTTTACACATGAGCATGCCGATGGCAACCAATAATTGCACCAACATTTTCCAAAGAAAATTTTTTTATAAAAGAAATATTTTTTTTAATTGAGAGATGATAGATCCTATTTCATATTGGGAATGACTTCCCTCCTATCCAATCACAGATTGAAAGGTATTGTTGGGCTTATAAAGGCTCATCACGAGTTTCGTTTCGATAATCAAAACTGTTCAATGTATAGAATTTGTTGAGTACTATATGCTTTTAAAAATTTACTTTGATCTATATCCATAACTATGTGATCAAATCAGTTTTGTATAAAAAAAATTGACGGTGAAAAATAAACGACTTACAAAAATCTGATTTGATCACATAGCTATCGATATCCGATCACCGTGATATTTTACAGACATATAGCACTCGACGATTTCTACATATTGAAACGATTTAAATTATCGAAACGGAACCAATGATGAGCCTCTACAAGCCCAACAATACCTTCTAATCTGATCGTGCATCAGAGAGAAGCCATTCACTATATATTAAAATAAGTGCACTTTTTGACTTTTTATGAAATATGGGTTGAGTTTGGGTTGAGTTTGAAGTGATGTGTTAGAGAGGTGTTGTGACTTAAATAAGATGATGTGATTAAATAGGATAGTGACTTTTTAACTTTTTGTCTTTTTTCAATCATGCCAAACTTGGCCTTAAAGTGATGCCTTGTCCACGTTAAAAGTTGAAGTGGTATTACATGTATTAATTAATGTATATATTAATACATTAATTAGTATTATGTTATTGATCTCACTTATTATACAAATTACAAATATAAAAAAAATTTAAAATTATGTCCCATCACCTCTTATAATACTATTAGTAATTAAGATATAGTAGTATTCTAAAAGTTGCCTGTGAGCTCTCTCCATTAATTCTGTTTTACGCTATCTAAAAAACAAAAACCAAGATGAAATGATCAATTTTTCTGCGACATTTGTTCGTTGACAACACCACCACCGCCTCTCTCCTCCGCCGTCGCCGATGGAAAAAGCTATGACCAGCTCCTCCGCCACTTCTCGCAAGGTCTCTCTCTCTCTCTCGCTCTCTCTCTCTCTCTCTCATTTTCAATTCTAAATTCTTGTTTGTTTTTTGATATTCTTGTGGGTTTGTGTTTTTTAGGTTCTAAGCAAGATCGCTTCGAATCGACTCCAGAAGGAGCTGGAAGAGTGGCAGGTCAACCCTCCCTCTGGATTCAAACACAGGGCCACCGATAATCTTCAAAGGTCTGCCTCTCCTAGGGTTTCCTTTTCTTTAATTCCTCTTCGCCTCTGTTTGTTTTCTATGAAAATCTTGAAATTCTGATTTTAATTTGTTTTGGAACATGTAATTTTATCTGTTAAATTTAGTTTTTTATTTTTATTTTTAATAGTTTGTAATTTATGTATTTGATTGCGATTTTGATGCAAAGTTGGGTAATTGAAGTGAATGGAGCTCAGGGAACTCTCTATGCTAATGAAACTTACCAGCTTCAGGTCGATTTTCCTGAACATTATCCCATGGACGCTCCACAGGTGTGGCAAATTTCGTCAAATGTTTCGTCAAATTTCGTCATTTTGGTTTGTTTTTTTTATTTGTATGACGGGGTGGAAGCAGGTTATATTTCTGCAACCAGCTCCTCTGCACCCTCATATCTACAGCAACGGTCACATTTGCTTAGGTAATCTTGAAGGTGTTTCGTTGGATTTTGGTTGCTTGGTATTCTTTGAGATTCTCAAGTGTTTTTACTGGTTTTCCAATTAATATCTCATCAACAAAAATTAAAAATTTCGAATATGCTGCTTGTCTAATGTCTTCTAAAAGTTTTTGGGTTAAATGTCATCGTGAATTTCGTTGTTGCCACTTGTCAGAAATATGTAAGGGACATGTTAGTTTGAACTATGCATGACATAGCATATGCAAATATGATGACCTTTGAAATTCATAGTTGGTGGTTGTATTTCATTTAAGTTCTTAATTATTAACTATACTTGTGTGGATCAGGATTCATAACAATTGGATGCTCTTGCATCATTGTTTCAAAATGAATATCATAATAGTAGCAATATTTTCTGAGATTGGTGGCTTAATTCTTTCTTTATGTTGGTTATGTGTATTTATATCCTTTTGTTTTTTTTTTCTCCTCCCTGAAAATGAGACTTAAGCTTGTTTTTTAGGCTGCAATTGGAAGACAATATGTATGCTTTATTCATGCCTTTGCCTTTTTAACTACTGCTACTGCATATATATATGCTATACATGAGTTTTCAGGTAAACCTTTGCTAGGCATATATACATACACATATATATATATATATATATATATTTAGAAGTCTATGTGTATTTATATCCTTTTGTTTTTTTTTTCTCCTCCCTGAAAATGAGACTTAAACTTGTTTTTTAGGCTGCAATTGGAAGACAATATGTATGCTTTATTCATGCCTTTGCCTTTTTAACTACTGCTACTGCATATATATATGCTATACGTGAGTTTTCAGGTAAACCTTTGCTAGGCATATATACATACATATATATATATATATATATTAAGAAGTCTTGGATGCACCTCCCTAAGAAAAATGCTAATGACAGCCCAATAGATGGTCATTTGTGTCGATGTACGCATTAAAAAATGTGTATAAATTTGTATGAAAATTGTATGGTAAAATGTAAAAGTTTATAGGAATATGTAAAATGTGCATTGGAATTTCAAATATTTTGGCATTATTTCTATTCTTAGTGGCAAACAACCCAATGGGCTACTTTAGCATGACCCATAAAAAAATGGAGTTCTTACAAAAAGCAAGAAAGCTCAAGGCCTTTACACTTTTAACATAGGCCTTGGAAAGTTAAACCAGCTCCATTAAAGGCTGTCGGAAACTAAAAGGCAAACAGATACTTAACCTTTGGATTAACCCTTATGTCTGGAATTGCTTACTTCTATAATTAAAAAAAAAAAAAAATGAATAGAATAGAATAGAATAAGGCTGCCAATTTTTTCAAGGTTTCAAAATTGTACTCTCTTTTATCTTTGTAGACTCTAAAAAAAATCTTCCATGTCTAAAATCCTAGGAAAACGGATTGGGACATAAGGTTTGGTTTGGTTTGGTTTGGCCTGGTCTAAAAGCCTAGGAAAATGATAAACCCTCCTTATTCTAAGGCACATCACCAATTAAAAAAACTCATTATCCAAAGGCCTATAAAAAATACTTCCTAATTCAAAAGTTAGCAAAATAGAAGCCCCCTTCTTCTTGTCCATTGGCTCTTAATAATAAACGATGAATAATAAATATTCATTGCCCAAAAGTCCAATAAAAATAATCTTATTTAAAAGGTCAACAAAATAAACTCTCATTGTCTACACTTCCTCAATACTATAGATGGCAAGAATAGAAGTGTTTGGAAAAATGAGTTTTATATAATAAATTTCAGGGCAAATTTCATCAATGGTGATTGTAGTTTTCCCAAGTTTCAATTTGGTTATGTCATTTCAATTGCAACACATTTGACTTTTAATTATTCACATTTAACGAGCATTGGAATTTTTTACAAAAAATGACCGCATGCAATGCATCGGACTTTTTTGTAGTTGTGTTACAGACTCTTCTATTTCCCCCAATTTTAAAGACAAAAATGAGAATCTAAGGTAGTGTTTGGAAGAGTCTTAAAATCATGATTTGAGAATAAAGTTTCATTTTGAATTTGTGAGTTTTGGAATTATGATTTGAAAGAGAAAATTTGTTTGGTTATGAATTTTGAATTGAGTTTTGAATTTTTGACGTGACATATGAAATGAGAAAAGTTGTTTGGTTATTATGAGTTTTGAAAAGAGTTTTTAAAAAACTAATTTGTCATTTTGGTCTAAAAAAATAATTTGTATATTTGAAAAATATCAAAAACAAATATGATTTTTTTTTTTTTTTTCAAATAACAGGTGGCGATTGGTAATTGCCAAAACAAAAAAATTGTACTGTTCCGGTCAACCAGTCGAATGACCTGGTAGACCAAAAATTCAAAAATTGTCTACTTCACCAAACATGTTTTCAAAATCTATTCTGAAATTGATTTGGAACCATGATTTGAAAACTAAAACCAAACATAGCATTCAAATATATGGGTGGAATTCATTTTCAAAAGCTCTACCAAACACAGCCTAAATCATTCCCCCTCCTCTCTGTCTGCCTCTCATTCTCTCCTAAGCCAACCACCACCTTTTACTCCCTCCCTCGTCTCCACTACTGCAAGCCCTCTCCCTGCCACCCCACCTTGCCAACACCGAACCCAACGGCCCAGCCACCAATACTGAACACCCGACCCCTAACCAGCCATAAACCTTTCTTCCCCAAAGTTTCTCCTTTATCACATGTATATACAAATCCATTATCATCTTTGGTTAAAAAAGATTTTGTATCTAGTGCTTCATCCATGGTTGGGAGCTTAAGAAGGTAAATCGATTTGGGTTTCATGATACTGCAAGAGGCTGTACGAAAGGATGAAGATGGTAACTAATGCCATGGATTTCATAGGTATTGGGAGGATAGAGAGAGAGACCATGATTCAAAAACCGATATTTGTATGTATATATACATATATGTGCGTGTATATAAAATCTCTCCATGTCACAATTTAGTTAACATCCCAATCATCTTCCACTCCCATCATCGAATATAATGGTTTGGTGTTCAGGGATATGGATTGTCAATAGCGGTTGGTGGGTGGGTGGAATGTCTAAAATGCTCTCTATAGTGACCACATGAGGCACATGGCTACTCTTCCATCCAAAATTTTGATATATGTTATTGATTTGATTGGACCTATTTGACACAATGTGACAATTAGAAGACAAACCTGACACAATCAAAAATAGGTGGACCAAATTGAAACTCAAAAGAAACTATATGGACCATTTGATATAACTTGCCCTAAATTTTATAGTGTGAAAAAATATATGTAAATTAACGTTTAAATATGAAAATTCTCATTTGAGATGTTCATTTTGGCCCCCAATGGTGTTGGGCTGGCCTGGGGTCTGCCTTTGATTTTAGTGTTGCAACCTCCCACCAACTAGATTAATAATGTCTTATGGAATTTTGAATATGCCCATTATCGAATGGTTAAAATGCTATTTGTTGTTTAATTATTTAGTATTACAGTATTATTTGTATGAAGGGTTTATGATGTAGGACAAAACAAATAGGGGCTGTGAGGACTGTAAAACAGACTTTCTGTGGGTTTTTATGGTTGCTTAAAGCTGAAAATCAATAGGAATTTTAGGATTTCAATTAATGAATGGAATGAACTAGGTTTAGGATTAATAAACCGGATGAAAGAGATCAAAACAGGGGCTGTTATGGGTGCTGTGAACAGTACTCGTGAACAGTAATTAGTCTGTGGAAGTGCTGAAATTTAAGGAAGAAATAAAAGAAAAGAAGAAAGGAGAAGAAGAAGAAGATAGGTCTAGGAATCACACCTAGATTCTATAGACATCACACTTAGGGTTTGATTGCATCACACAATCAATAAAGAAGCTTCAAAGCTCTTTTAACTTTTTATAAAATATCAATTCTATTGAATTAGAGCATTACATGGCTTTATATAGACTAAGAAACTTCTTAAATTGGTTAGAACTAAAATAGGAAACTATCAAAATATCTTTGACTTCCAAAACTAATTTAAGACTAAATAAGAAACAAAAACAAAGACTAATTAAATAACTTGACTCACAAGACAGGCGATCCTACAGCCCATGTAGGCAAATATAAAATTACTAAAATAACCTTCACCTAAAAATCCTAGAAACACAAAAATAATCATAAAATAAAACTATAATAATATTAGAAATATGATTATGTGTGGTTCCTATCGATTTCTCTTTGAAACCAGCTTTTTTAAATTTACTCTTCTTTGAGCTTCTTATATTCCGCATCACTTTATAGTATTTTTCTTTTAAAAAAGGAAAACATAATACATTATGGCTTGTATGGAATGAACTGGAATTATTGTTGCATTCCTCCATAATTTCATTCTTATTGCCTTCACAATTGGTTACTATTGACTTCTGTTCATATGAGATGCAAAGGCTTCTAGAGTGGCGTACATTTTTTTTCTGGGTAATTAAGTCATAATATAAAACAAGAAACTGTACATTACAAGGGGTATTCCCCAGGTTGTTACAAGATCAACAACCTAACTGCCTAAACTACAAAGCGAAAGAAGTATAACCAGGCACAAAACTCCACCTAACAACCAAAGCCTAGATTGATAAGGACCATACAATGTAGTTTATACAGATAGGGTATACCCAGATTCTCATATTAGATTTTGCTATATACAAATGCAAAACTTTTATATTCTCTTTACATTTGTATAGCAATTGACCATAATCATATAAGTTGCTGGGCATATTGTCATATCTTAAATTTGCATCTGTATTCTCCAGATTACTGAAACTTAAGATCCATTGGCTCATGTTGTTTTGTAGATATCTTGTATGATTCTTGGTCCCCAGCCATGACTGTTAGTTCTATCTGTATCAGCATTCTCTCCATGCTATCAAGCTCAACCATGAAGGTCTTTTCTGATTTTAAATTAAGGGCTTTTATGTCCCAGTCTTCTATGTTGCTCTATGTTCTAGCTTATTATTCACCACAGCATAAACTCCGAAAATTTTCAAATATCCTTGTTTTGGCGAATTGCAAGTATTCCCTGATATATCTACTGTTCTCTTCCTCGAATTGTCTCCACCTAAAAGCATTTGAGGCTTAAATCTTGTTGATTTTGACCTTCCGTGCAGCAACGGCCCGAAGATAATGATCGCTATGTAAAGAACTGTGGAAATGGCAGATCTCCCAAGGAGACTAGGTGGTGGTTCCATGACGATAAAGTGTAATAATAGAGCATCTCCCCCATCATTAGTTGTTTGGGAAGTAGCTTGCATGAATCTCTTTTTTCAAAGGGAATGCCCAAACAATGAAAAGGTTGAGGAAATAAAAATTTAAAAAAAAAGAAAAAAAAAAAGAAGAAGATTCTTAAAACCATAGGTAAGGTGAAGGCTTTGGTTGATATTAATTAGGCACTGGTATTTGTAAATGAATAGCATGATCTTGCTTATTTGTGGTTACTAATTGTAAGTTGATACTTTGTGCATGTGAACTCAATGCCAACTGATACTGTCTCTCCTTGATAAGCGATGAAGTTCAGACTCATTGCTGTGTTTCTTATCTATGATCTTCTCTTCTAACTAAAATCTTGTGTTGTCATGAATCATTGTTGAGTGATTCATAGGAAAAATTCGTTTGGGCTGTGCCCTAGATATGTAGCTGTGTATGATTTAGAACACCTTTGAAGCTTGCTTTGTGATCTTTGTCGAGTGGATCTGTTTGAGTGTCCCACCTATGAATGAACTCTGTTTTTAAATTATTTACTATGGAAGTGAAAAGAATGATGCAATCACACTACTGAGCTCGACAACTATATGTTTGTTATTATATACTAGTGATTGTTTTGTAAATTCATGGATCATAGGGTGTGTTTTGGGGGTACTATTCATTGTTCGGATTGCTTATTCGAATGAGGGAGATGTTTATCGTTTGTTTGTTTTTTTAATCTGCCGGACATAGAGTCTGGCCGGATTTCATATCCCTTATATGAGGGACTATTGTATCCTAGGGGGGGGGGCTGGGATTATTTACTATTGGGATTAAGTAATGAAATGATCATTTTGACCCTCTATTATTTAAGGTAAAAAAAAAGTGTTTAAAAAAGTGGCAGAAGGATAGAATTGAGGAAAATCTTAAGAGCTATAGATTAGGTAACAAGGAGGTCTAGAAAGTACTGAGAGAGACTAAGTTGAAAGCTTGTGATAACCTATACACTACACTAGATAGTAAGGAGGAAGATAAGAGGGTTTACAAATTTGCGAAGATACAGAAGAGGAAAATAAGAGATTTTAATCAAGTTAAGTGCATCAAAGGTAGAGATTCTAAGATATTGGTGAAGGAGAAAGAGGCTAAGGAAAGATGAAAGAATTATTTTGAGAAACTATTAAATGAGGAATATGGAGGTACGGCAATAGGGGAAGAAATAGCCAGTAATACGATAAACCAATAGTATAGGTTCTATTGTAAGATTAGAAACTTTGAAGTGAAGATTGCTCTTAAGAAGATGAAGTGTTTGGGTAAAAAAAGAGTTGCTTGGTTGACTAGGTTAATTAGCAAAATTTTATTGACTAGGAATATGCCAGATGAGTAGAGCAAGAGTATTTTAGTGTCAATCTATAAAAATAAAGGTGATGTCCAGAATTGAAACAACTATAGAGGAATCAAGTGAATCAATTTGGGTTTATGCCTGGCAGGTTAACAATAGAAGTGATCTATCTTTTAAAGAGAGAAATAGAAAAGTATAAAGAAAATAAAATAAAAGAAAAGAGACATTCATATGGTGTTTATCTTGAGAAAGCATATGATAGAGTGTCTCGTGATATAATATGGTGGGTGTTAGAGGAGAAGAAAGGGGTGACAAAATGTTACATTGATGTGATTAGGGACATATATGAAGGGCTGGTGACCAGTATTAGATCATTTGCTGGAGAGACAAATAAATTTTCTATGATTGTAGGGTTACACCAAGGATCTACCTTAAGTTCTTATTTTTTTGCTTTAGTTATAGATGAGTTGACGAGAAATATTCAGGATGATGTGCAATGGTGTATGCTTTTTGCAGACGATATTGTGCTAGTGGATGAGACTAGAGAATGAGTTAATACAAAGTTGGAGATTTGGAGAAAAACTCTTGAATCTAAAGGATTCCGGATAAGCAGAACTAAGAAGGAGTACATGGAGTGTAGATTTAATAACAGTAACAATGAAAGCAGAGGAGAAGTGGAAATTGAAAATCAAGAACTGCTTAAAAGTAAACATTTTCGTTATTTAGGGTCGATTATCACAACAGCGGGGTAGATTGATGCGGATATGGCTCATAGGATTAAGGCGGGATAGTGTAAGTGGAGAAGTGCGTCTGGGGTATTGTGTGATAAACGAATATCCACTAGACTAAAAGGTAAGTTCTATAGAATGGCTATTAGACCAACAATGTTGTATGAGACGGAGTGTTGGGCAACCAAAAAACAACATGTAGACAAGATGAGTATTGCTGAGATGAGGATGTTAAGGTGGATGGTGGTTTAAACTTAGACCAAGAAGAATTAAGAAAGAGTGTAATCGGGAATGCGGTAAGAGTAGCACCAATAGAAGATAAGTTGAGAAAAAATCGATTAAGATGGTTTGGTCATATTCAATGGAGACCAACAGAGAGGCTATAAAGAGATGTGATGCTGTAACGGTAGATGGAAGTGTTAGAGGACGGGGTAGATCTAGATTAACATTGGTTAGCGTTGTAAATAGAGATATGAATCTACTTAATTTGGCTAATGAAATGGCCTTTGTTAAGGCCACGTAGAGAAGAAGGATTCATATAGCCGACTCCATTTGATGAGACTTAAGGCTTGGTTTGGTTTGGTTTGGTATTTAAATTTTAATAGATGTTTTATTTAATTTCATTATTTTAATAATTATTATTTTTTAAAATAAATTTATTTAAAATTTTAATTAAAAAAATAACATATATTTTTATTGATATTTTATTTATTTAATTTTTAAAAATAAATTTATTTAATTGTGTATAAATAAAATAAATAAATTTTTATTTAATCTAGCTAAAAATAATTAAAATATGAAAGATATGATTAATATTGCTATTACTTAGTAAACAATTGAAAAATAGTAAAATAGTCTTTTACTCATTTATTTTATTCAGTTCAACCAAACATTAGATTTACTAAAAAACATCTACTTTCATAAAAAAATAAACACAGGATACACATCTAATCCAATTAAATAGTTAAGAGGATTTACAATCCTAATATTCAAATTCGACGGATTTTAATTCTCTTTATTCAGTCTGTCCAATCAAACACACTCATGGAGTTACAGCAAGCAAAACAAATTGATATGCACTGGACAATGAAAAACAAACTTTTGTTTGCCGTTTTAAAATTTTTAGTTACAGTGAAAATATTGATTTTTTATGGAAAGTGTCTAAGTTGGTAGGTTAGTAAATTTTGAAGAGTTTGGTTTGAATTTTGAATTTGTAAAGAGATTAAAGAAAATAATTAGTGATATCTTTTTTAAAATAGTTCAACTGTCTACTTCTTTTTTTTTTTTTTCCTGTAACTAATCAAATATTCAAAGAAAGCCTAACATTGGTAGGTGATTGCTTCCACCATGTATTTGTTTTAATTACTAAATTAGAAAAAGAAGACTTACACACGCTCCAATAAGGTTCGTTTGGCAATGCTTTTTTTAATTAATTTTTTTAATTTGAGATTTTTTTATTTGTTTGGTTTTTTTATTTGACTTTTTGGCTTTTGAATGACAAATTTTTTTATTGACTTTTTTATTTTTTGACATTTTTTTTGTCCATATGTAATTATTTAGTCTAAAATATTTACCAAACCGGAGCTAAATAAAAAAAAAATTGTATTGTTCCGGTCAACCAGCTGAATGACCTGGTAGACCAAAAATTCAAAAATTGTCTACTTCACCAAACATGTTTTCAAAATCTATTTTGAAATTGATTTGGAACCATGATTTGAAGACTAAAACCAAACATAGCATTCAAATATATGGGTGGAATTCATTTTCAAAAGCTCTACCAAACACAGCCTAAATCATTCCCCCTCCTCTCTCTCCCCCTCTCATTCTCTCCTAAGCCAACCACCACCTTTTACTCCCTCTCTCTTCTCCACTACTGCAAGCCCTCTCCCTGCCACCCCACCTTGCCAACACTGAACCCAACGGCCCAGCCACCAATACTGAACACCCGACCCCTAACCAGCCATAAACCTTTCTTCCCCAAAGTTTCTCCTTTATCACATGTATATACAAATCCATTATCATCTTTGGTAAAAAAAGGTTTTGTATCTAGTGCTTCATCCATGGTTGGGAGCTTAAGAAGGTAAATCGATTTGGGTTTCAAGATACTGCAAGAGGCTGTACGGAAGGATGAAGATGGTAACTCATGCCATGGATTTCATAGGTATTGGGAGGATAGAGAGAGAGACCGTGATTCAAAAACCGATGTTTGTATGTATGTATACATATATGTGCGTGTATATAAAATCTCTCCATGTCTCAATTTAGTTAACATCCCAATCATCTTCCACTCCCATCATCGAATATAATGGTTTGGTGTTCAGGGATATGGATTGTCAATAGCGGTCGGTGGGTGGGTGGAATGTCTAAAATGCTCTCTATAGTGACCACATGAGGCACATGGCTACTCTTCCATCCAAAATTTTGATATATGTTATTGATTTGATTGGACCTATTTGACACAATGTGACAATTAGAAGACAAACCTGACACAATCAAAAATAGGTGGACCAAATTGAAACTCAAAAGAAACTATATGGACCATTTGATATAACTTGCCCTAAATTTTATAGTGTGAAAAAATATATGTAAATTAACATTTAAATATGAAAATTCTCATTTGAGATGTTCATTTTGGCCCCCAATGTTGTTGGGCTGGCCTGGGGTCTGCCTTTGATTTAAGTGTTGCAACCTCCCACCAACTAGATTAATAATGTCTTATGGAATTTTGAATATGCCCATTATCGAATGGTTAAAATGTTATTTGTTGTTTATTTATTTAGTATTACAGTATTATTTGTATGAAGGGTATATGATGTAGGACAAAACAAATAGGGACAGCGCTGTGAGGACTGTAAAACAGACTTTCTGTGGGTTTTTATGATTGCTTAAAGCTGAAAATCAATAGGAATTTTAGGATTTCAATTAATGAATGGAATGAACTAGGTTTAGGATTAATAAACCGGATGAAAGAGATCAAAACAGGGGCTGTTATGGGTGCTGTGAACAGTGCCCGTGAACAGTAATTAGTCTGTGGAAGTGCTGAAATTTAAGGAAGAAATAAAAGAACAGAAGAAAGGAGAAGAAGAAGAAGATAGGTCTAGGAATCACACCTAGATTCCGTAGACATCACACTTACGGTTTGATTGCATCACACAATCAATAAAGAAGCTTCAAAGCTCTTTTAACTTTTTATAAAATATCAACTCTATTGAATTAGAGCATTGCATGGCTTTATATAGACTAAGAAACTTCTTAAACCAGTTAGAACTAAAATAGGAAACTACTAAAATATCTTTACCAAAACTAATTTAAGACTAAATAAGAAACAAAAACAAAGACTAATTAAATAACTTAACTCACAAGACGACCCATGGGCGACCCCTACAGCCCATGTAGGCAAATATAAAATTACTAAAATACCTTTCACCTAAAAATCCTAGAAACACAAAAATAATCATAAAATAAAACTATAATAATATTAAAAATATGATTATGTGTGGTTCTTATCGATTTCTCTTTGAAGCCAACTTTTTTAAATTTACTCTTCTTTGAGCTTCTTATATTCCGCATCAGTTTATAGTATTTTTCTTTTAAAAAAGGAAAACATAATACATTATGGCTTGCATGGAATGAACTGGAATTATTGTTGCATTCCTCCATAATTTCATTCTTATTGCCTTCACAATTGGTTACTATTGACTTCTGTTCATATGAGATGCAAAGGCTTCTAGAGTGGCGTACATTTTTTTTCTGGGTAATTAAGTCATAATATAAAACAAGAAACTGTACATTACAAGGGGTATTCCCCAGGTTGTTACAAGATCAACAACCTAACTGCCTAAACTACAAAGCGAAAGAAGTATAACCAGGCACAAAACTCCACCTAACAACCAAAGCCTAGATTGATAAGGACCATACAATGTAGTTTATACAGATAGGGTATACCCAGATTCTCATATTAGATTTTGCTATATACAAATGCAAAACTTTTATATTCTCTTTACATTTGTATAGCAATTGACCATAATCATATAAGTTGCTGGGCATATTGTCATATCTTAAATTTGCATCTGTATTCTCCAGATTACTGAAACTTAAGATCCATTGGCTCATGTTGTTTTGTAGATATCTTGTATGATTCTTGGTCCCCAGCCATGACTGTTAGTTCTATCTGTATCAGCATTCTCTCCATGCTATCAAGCTCAACCATGAAGGTCTTTTCTGATTTTAAATTAAGGGCTTTTATGTCCCAGTCTTCTATGTTGCTCTATGTTCTAGCTTATTATTCACCACAGCATAAACTCCGAAAATTTTCAAATATCCTTGTTTTGGCGAATTGCAAGTATTCCCTGATATATCTACTGTTCTCTTCCTCGAATTGTCTCCACCTAAAAGCATTTGAGGCTTAAATCTTGTTGATTTTGACCTTCCGTGCAGCAACGGCCCGAAGATAATGATCGCTATGTAAAGAACTGTGGAAATGGCAGATCTCCCAAGGAGACTAGGTGGTGGTTCCATGACGATAAAGTGTAATAATAGAGCATCTCCCCCATCATTAGTTGTTTGGGAAGTAGCTTACATGAATCTCTTTTTTCAAAGGGAATGCCCAAACAATGAAAAGGTTGAGGAAATAAAAATTTAAAAAAAAAGAAAAAAAAAAAAAGAAGAAGATTCTTAAGGTGAAGGCTTTGGTTGATATTAATTAGGCACTGGTATTTGTAAATGAATAGCATGATCTTGCTTATTTGTGGTTACTAATTGTAAGTTAATACTTTGTGCATGTGAACTCAATGCCAACTGATACTGTCTCTCCTTGATAAGCGATGAAGTTCAGACTCATTGCTGTGTTTCTTATCTATGATCTTCTCTTCTAACTAAAATCTTGTGTTGTCATGAATCATTGTTGAGTGATTCATAGGAAAAATTCGTTTGGGCTGTGCCCTAGATATGTAGCTGTGTATGATTTAGAACACCTTTGAAGCTTGCTTTGTGATCTTTGTCGAGTGGATCTGTTTGAGTGTCCCACCTATGAATGAACTCTGTTTTTAAATTATTTACTATGGAAGTGAAAAGAATGATGCAATCACACTACTGAGCTCGACAACTATATGTTTGTTATTATATACTAGTGATTGTTTTGTAAATTCATGGATCATAGGGTGTGTTTTGGGGGTACTATTCATTGTTCGGATTGCTTATTCGAATGAGGGAGATGTTTATCGTTTGTTTGTTTTTTTAATCTGCCGGACATAGAGTCTGGCCGGATTTCATATCCCTTATATGAGGGACTATTGTATCCTAGGGGGGGGGGCTGGGATTATTTACTATTGGGATTAAGTAATGAAATGATTATTTTGATCCTCTATTATTTAAGGTAAAAAAAAGTGTTTTAAAAAGTGGCAGAAGGATAGAATTGAGAAAAATCTTAAGAGCTATAGATTAGGTAATAAGGAGGTCTAGAAAGCATTGAGAGAGACCAAGTTGAAAGCTTGTGATAACCTATATATTAGACTAAATAGTAAGGAGGAAGATAAGAGGGTTTACAAATTTGCGAAGATACAGAAGAGGAAAATAAGAGATTTTAATTAAGTTAAGTGCATTAAGGATAGAGATTCTAAGATATTGGTGAAGGATAAAGAGGTTAATGAAAGATGAAAGAGTTATTTTGAGAAACTATTAAATGAGGAATATGGAGATACTACAATAAGGGAAAAAATAGCCAGTAAATAGCCAGTAATACGATAAACCAAGAGTATATGTTTTATTGTAGGATTAGGAACTTTGAAGTAGAGATTGCACTTAAGAAGATGAAGTGTTTGGGTAAAAAAAGGAGTTGCTTGGTTGACTAGGTTATTTAGCAAAATTTTATTGGCTTGGAATATGCCAGATGAGTAGAGCAAGAGTATTTTAGTGCCAATCTGTAAAAATAAAGGTGATGTTCAGAATTGAAAGAACTATAGAGGAATCAATTTAGGTTTATGCCTGGCAGGTTAACAATAGAAGCGATCTATCTTTTAAAGAGAGAAATAGAAAAGTATAAAGAAAAGAAAAGAAAAGAGACATTCATATGGTGTTTATCGATCTTGAGAAAGCATATGATAGAGTGTCCCGTGATATAATATGGTGGGTGTTAGAGGAGAAGAAATGGGTGACAAAATGTTACATTGATGTGATTAGGGACATATATGAAGGGCTGGTGACCATTATTAGATCATTTGCTGGAGAGACAAATAAATTTCCTATGATTGTAGGGTTACACCAAGGATCTACCTTAAGTCCTTGTTTTTTTGCTTTAGTTATGGATGAGTTGACGAGAAATATTCAGGATGGTGTGCAATGGTGTATGCTTTTTGCAGACGATATTGTGCTAGTGAATGAGACTAGAGAAGGAGTTAATACAAAGTTGAAAATTTGGAGAAAAACTCTTGAATCTAAAGGATTCCGGATAAGCAGAACTAAGAGGGAGTACATGGAGTGTAAATTTAGTAACAGTAACAATGAAAGCAGAGGAGAAGTGGAAATTGAAAACCAAGAACTGCTTAAAAGTAAACATTTTCGTTATTTAGGGTCGATTATCACAACAGCGGGGGAGATTGATGCGGATATGGCTCATAGGATTAAGGTGGGATAGTGTAAGTGGAGAAGTGTGTCTGGGGTATTGTGTGATAAACGAATACACACTAGACTAAAAGGTAAGTTTTATAGAATGGCTATTAGACCAACAATGTTGTATGGGACGGAGTGTTGGGCAACCAAGAAATAACATGTAGACAAGATGAGTATTGCTGAGATGAGGATGTTAAGGTGGATGTGTGGTAAGACTAGACAAGACAGAATTAAGAAAGAGTGTATTCGAGAATGGGTAGGAGTAGCACCGATAGAAGATAAGTTGAGAGAGAATCGATTAAGATGGTTTGGTCATATTCAATGGAGACCAACAGAGAGGCATTAATAAAGAGATGTGATGCTGTAACGGTAGATGGAAGTGTTAGAGGACAGGGTAAGTCTAGATTAACATTGGTTAGCGTTGTAAATAGATATATGAATCTACTTAATTTGACTAATGAAATGACCTTTGTTAGGGTCACGTGGAAAAGAAGGATTCATATAGCCGATTCCATTTAAAGGCTTGGTTTGGTTTGGTATTTAAATTTTAATAGATGTTTTATTTAATTTCATTATTTTAATAATTATTATTTTTTAAAATAAATTTATTTAAAATTTTAATTAAAAAAATAACATATATTTTTATTGATATTTTATTTATTTAATTTTTTAAAAATAAATTTATTTAATTGTGTATAAATAAAATAAATAAATTTTTATTTAATCTAGCTAAAAATAATTAAAATATTAAAGATATGATTAATATTGCTATTATTTAGTAAACAATTAAAAAAATGTAAAATAGTCTTTTGCTCATTTATCTTATCCAGTCCAACCAAACATTGAATTCACTAAAAATAGTCTTTTCCAGACATCTAATTCTATGAGAAAATAAACACAGGATACACATTTAATCCAACTAAATAGTTCAGAGGATTTATAGTCTCAGAATTCAAATCCGACACATTTTAATCTACTTTATTCAGTTTGTCCAATCAAACACATCCATAGAGTTACAGCAAGCAAAACAAATTGATATGCACTGGACAATGAAAAACAAACTTTTGTTTGCCGTTTTAAAATTTTTAGTTACAGTGAAAATATTGAATTTTTATGGAAAGTGTCTAAGTTGGTAGATTCAGTAAATTTTGAAGAGTTTGGTTTGAATTTTGAATTTTGAATTTGTAAAGAGATTAAAGAAAATAATTAGTGATTTCTTTTTTAAAATAGTTCAACTGTCTTTTTTTTTTTTTTCTTTTTCCCTGTAACTAATCAAATATTCAAAGAAAGCCTAACATTGGTAGGTGATTGCTTCCACCAAGTATTTGTTTTAATTACTAAGGCTAAGTTTGAGAAGATTAAATAAGTGTACTTTTTGACTTTTTATGAAATATGAGTTGGATTTGGGTTGGGTTTGAAGTGATGGGTTAGAGAGATGATGTGACTTAAATGAGATGATGTGACTTAAATAGGATAGTGACTTTTTGACTTTTTGAATTTTTTGGAACATGCCAAACTTAGCCTAAATTAGAAAAAAAAGAAGACTTACACATGCTCCAATAACGTTCGTTTGGCAATGACTTTTTTAATTAATTTTTTTAATTTTTTTAGTTTGAGATTTTTTTATTTGTTTGGTTTTCTTATTTGGCTTTTTAGCTTTGGAATGACAAATTTTTTTGTTGACTTTTTTATTTTTTGACATTTTTTTTGTCCATATGTAATTATTTAGTCTAAAATATTTACCAAACCGGAGCTAAATAAATAAATAAATAACAATAGTAATCCTAAAGGTCCCAATATTTCTATCAATTATATTACTAGCACTTTCCAAATAACAAAAAAGCACCCATAGGCTTTGTTTGCCAATGGAGAAGAGTGTCAACATCTCATACAAGTATTCTTCCTCTTGCTTATTTTGACTAAACAATTATGTTATAAATTCAAAATTTTACTCAAAAATATTAATGTATAATTTAAATTTATTGGTGTACGAATTTTAAACACGTTATTTTAATCTCAAATACAAATCACATTTCTTGATAAAAATTAGATTTTTTTTTGTTTTTTTGAGGCTTTAGACTAATTCGTCAAATAACAAAAGTTCTAATTTATGTCTTTTTAGTCGTACTATGGGTATTTCGAAAAACAATAATGATTTAGAGCTCGAAATAATGAGTTCTAAATCCACCACTAGTGAGGTGAAAAAAAAAAAATGCTGTGATAGTGGGTGAGACCTACTGTCACATCATTAGTGGTAACTCTAATTAGTGGTCTCAAGCATTATTATTTGAAAAAATGGTTAAAAGTTAATTTTTGACTTTTAATCAAGTTTTTGATTTTTTTTAGAAAAGTGATTTGAAAAGGTGATAAAAAGTTATTTTTAACTTTTTTGATTAATAGTTATTTATAATATCACATCACAATAAAATAACTAAACTATCCCACCCAATATAAAAAATTTATATCTTTACCTATGTAAATATAAAAAAAAATATAAAGAATATAATTATAATTTTATATGTGATTTTTTTAAATTTGTCAAATGACTGCCTACTCCAAAAAAAAACAGTCAGCCAACCTTTTTAGTAAACAAATTACAAACATAATTTTTTGGGCAAATTACATATACCTATCGAGATTTAGTAAAATTACAGATGCTTTTTGAGTTTTGAAAAATTACAGATATTTCTTAAAGGTATTATTTACATAACAAATTAAGGGACAAATTGTTATAAAAATATAAATCTCAGAGAATAATTTATTATGAAAATATAAATCTCAAGAAAATATCTATAATTTTTAAAATTTTAAAAACATATCTATAATTTAACTAAATCTCAAAAGAGATATACGTAATTTGTCCTAATTTTTTGCTTGTCAAAAGAGCACCTTATTTGTATAAAAAACTCTCACAAAAACACCTCTTCATACATTCGACGGTAAGAGATTATAATCTTTTTGTGGGATTGATTATTTTCCTACGACTTTTATGCTTGTCAGAATCATTCACCAACAACTTTTTTCAGGCCTGTGAAGTAGTATATTCTAGCATAACACATAAATTGCCAGAAAGGCTGCTGTTGAACTTTGAACACCCTTAATATCTCTCTCTCTCTCTCTCTCTCTGTCTCTCTCTCTCCCAGACTTTCTATCTTTCTCTCTCTAGAAAGGGAAAAGAAAAGGATGATGGCGATGATGATCATGGGGGAGGTGAATCAGCAAAGGATCAAAACAAATGGAATATGGATGAACATAGCAGAGAAAGGGACAGGACCACTGGTTCTGCTTCTTCATGGGTTCCCAGAATTCTGGTTTGGATGGAGACACCAGATCACTGACTTGGCTAAAAAGGGGTATCACGTGGTGGCACCTGATTTGAGAGGCTATGGTGATTCTGATTCTCCTCTCAGCCCTTCTTCCTACTCTGTTTTCCACATAGTCGCTGACCTCATTGGCCTTCTTGATCACTTTGGTCAACAACAGGTTTCTCTCTCTCCTCTCTCATGGGGCTTTGTATGTATATGTTAGTGCAAATTCAAGTAGTACTAGTCTTTCTATCTCTTCTGTTAATCTGTTTGGTTTGATCAATGTAATTTTAATTGTAATAATTTTGTATTTTGTGCTAAATGATTCAATTGATAATAATTTTCACAGAAAAAAATGAATAAAAATTAATTATGCTACTAAAATCCTTGTAGTTTATGTCTAGGGAAAATGTTGATATGATTTCTATAGTTTCATTTTATAGTAATAAATTTTCTCCTTAATTTAGCAATTTATGCTTAATTACATTTTGATCCTTAAAATATGAACTTGTAGACTGGAGGGATCATTAGTATAGTACCCCACCTTTCTCTATTATTTTTTTTATTACAATTATATCCTAACATGATATTCTAATTATATCTCATTTCTAAAAATGGCGATTAGAGCTAGGGAGGGGCTAGGTGGCTGCAGAAGCTGGTGGTATTGTTTGGTAGCTGGCTGGCATGGGGTAAGATTAGGATTTCAAAGGGTTGGGGTAATTTTGGTATTAATTGAGGTATCCAAGAATTTTTACCACATTCTTTCCATTAGTAAGGTCTAAAGAAGTGAGGGTATAAAGAGATTATATGTATGTGCTATTGGCAACATTCTTTTCATTATGCCCTTTCAGAATCAATACGTGGGGATTATTTTTCATCATATATCTAATTTGACATAAAATATTAAATTAAATGGTAAATTTTTTGGAGTTGCATGACACAGAGATAAATTACCTGACCAATGCTCTCCATTTTCTATTCCCCCTATCTCTTCTCCCTTGTATGTGGTTTTGTGTGTGTATTTTATGTCATCTTCTTCTCTTGTAATGTGAGAGATTTTTAACTTTTGTTTCATTGTGGGTGGGTGGATGTGGAATATTATTATTGATTGAGAAGGCATTTGTAGTGGGTACTGACTGGGGAGCCATAGCTGGATGGTACCTCAGCCTGTTGAGGCCTGACAGAGTGAAGTCACTGGTTAGTCTATCTGTTCCATTTGCATCCAGATCTCCCAATATCAAAACCACTGATTCCTACAAACAACTCTTTGGAGATGACTTCTATATCTGTCAGTTCCAGGTACTCCCCCATTTATGGGTAATTGAAGGAAAACTGATCAATTCCTAAAGAAAAATTGATATGGTGTTGTACTTTTCATATCAAATAGAGCTTTTGACTGAGTGAGCGATTGAATGGTGAGTGTTGGAACAGGAGGCAGGGAGAGCAGAGAAGGCATTTGCAAGATATGATTATGTGACAGTGATGAAGAAGTTGATTCTGATAAACAAGACTGATCTGCTGATAGCTCCACAGGGGATGGAGATCATTGATTACCTTGAGACACCTTGTTATTGTCCCAAATGGATAACAGAGGAAGAACTAGAAGTTTTTGCTGACAAATTCCAAGAGTCTGGTTTCACTGGACCTCTCAACTACTACCGTGCCATTGATCTGTGAGTCTTCTTAACTCTACTACTACTCTTACTTGTGACATATTTAGTACTGAAATTTTCAAAATAAAAATTAAAAAAAACATATGCGATGATTTGGAAGACGGGGAAGTGGTAAGAAGGGATTGTTGGATTGGTGGAAGGTTGTTGGAGGTGAGATCCATTGTTTTTGAAACAAATGAAAACATTTTTTTTTTTTATTTTCATTATTTTGAAAACCATTCCTATTGTTTGACAACAAAAATAGCTCCCAAAATGTGTTTTTCATTTTCAATTTTTCAAAATGTTTGAAAACAAAAATGTTACCAAAGGTTTTTGCAATTTTTATAGTCATCATCATAACAAGAAGTTGGTGTTCTTTGTTGTCATTTAAATGAGTGAGTAGTATTATGCATAAACAAATTTTTTTTATCATCAGATACAAAGTTAGTGAAACTCACACTAATAGATACACGTGATCTAGTACATTGTGTTAGTAGTAAGAAAAAATTGTAAGATACGTTTTTAAAAGAGTTGCTTATACTTTTTTTTATTATGAGATTTGTCTAAAATTATTTGTTGTAACTTCTATTTTTAACTTATACGATTTAAAAAAAAAAAAAAACCTGGTATTGTTGAATTGAGAATGGCTTCTCATGGGTGAGTGTTGCCCCGGGCCCATTGACTCGGTTCAGTTTTATTTATTTTTTAACTTGGATCTAATATTGGGTAATGAGCAGGAATTGGGAGCTTCTTGCACCATGGCAAGGTTCAAAAATAACAGTTCCAGTAAAGTTAATTGTTGGTGACAAAGATATTGGATTTGAGTGTGGAGGCACAAGGGAGTACATCCAAGGAAGTGTTTTCAAAAGCCTTGTCCCAAACTCTGAAGTTGTGATTCTTGATGGACATCATTTTATCCATCAAGAGAGACCTCAAGAAGTCTCCAATGAAATCTTATCTTTCCTCTCTAAATTTTCTCTAGCTTAATTATAATGAGTTCATATCTCAGGTAATTGAATTGTAGACACTCCAATTTTGTTATCCCATGTTGTCTTTATAGTGTAGGGGAATTTTCAAAATATACTTGATTTTTTTTTTTCAAAATCATCCTTGTTCATCTTTGAAAAACTTGAAGCAAACTTGTGAACTTGCTCCACATTGAAAAGTGGAGCACTTAATGAAGCGCAACATGAAATATTCTATTGAATTTGAAATTATAGAAAATGATAATCCTGCACATGCACATGCACATGCACATGCACATGCACTGGAAATAAAGACAATACAACGCACTGTCGACCATTGGCACAGTGTGGCGCATTTTGATAGATGAATATCATGATCGCTGATCGTGCAATTGAAATCCAACGGACCAAGTCCATGTGCAAATGGGTGCACCCTAGTTCGAAAGTGTTGCCACTCCCATTTAGAGGGATCAGGTCTATAAATAGAACCCAACTTCATTATGTGACTTGTAAAGAAATAAGCAGTTTCATCTTGAAACGAGTGTGATGTCAAACAATCCAATTTAAACCCGTATATGTACTCTACGAGTTTAAACGAGTTGTGTTGAATTGGGTACAAATCGGAGAAATTAATCCGACCAACCTCCTTATTTTATTGAACTCGTTTTTCAATGAATAGAAGAGGGAGTGATGGCGTTGGGCTCATTGCTTTGTTTGTTTGAATAGATACAAATTGGATAAATCAATCCGATCAATTTGTTAGATTTTGTGCCTTTTCGTTTGAATTGGGTAGGAGGAATTGGACAAATTATCACAACTAACTCGGTTATTTTATCTCTATGCCAATTTCCATATGAAGTATGAATAAAGAACACAAATTGATCATAATTTGATTGTAACTAGAAAAGTTAAAGGAGAAATTACAAAAAAAAAAAAAAAAAGAATATCATGATCGCTGATCGTGCAATTGAAATCCAACGGACCAAGTCCATGTGCAAATGGGTGCACCCTAGTTCGAAAGTGTTGCCACTTCCATTTAGAGGGATCAGGTCTATAAATAGAACCCAACTTCATTATGTGACTTGTAAAGAAATAAGCAGTTTCATCTTGAAACGAGTATGATTTCAAACAATCCAATTCAAACCCGTATACGTACTATACGAGTTTAAACGAGTTTGGTTGAATTGGGTACAAATTGGAGAAATTATTTTATTGAACTCGTTTTTCAATGAATAGAAGAGGGGGTGATGGCGTTGGGTTCATTGCTTTGTTTGTTTGAATAGATACAAATTGGATAAATCAATCCGATCAATTTGTTAGATTTTGTGCCTTCTTGTTTGAATTGGGTAGGAGGAATTGGACAAATTATCTCAACCAACTCGATTATTTTATCTCTATGCCAATTCCATATGAAGTACGAATAAAGAACACAAATTGATCATAATTTGATTTTAACTAGAAAAGTTAAAGGAGAAATTACAAAAAAAAAAAAAAAAAAAAACTCCAAAACGTTGTAATAAAATAAATCATGAATATTTAATTTTATCAATTTAAACCTTCAACTTATAATTTATTTTCAATCTAAACCATTTATTTATTTTCATTAAATAGAATTGATAAAAAAATAGGTATGTTAGTTATTAAAATCAATAAAAATGGTATTTCAAACATTTTATGTGTACCAAAATACTACTTTTCCGTCGGTTTTATTTAACAAAAATAGGTGAATAATTTAGATTGAAAATAAATCAAAAAATTAAGATTTATATTGATAAAAATAAAATCTCATAATTTATATTGTTACACGATTAAAACCTTTTGCTTTTTTTTTTTTTTTTTTTTTCTTTGTTCTTAATTGTCCCAAAAATTAATTACTTATTTAAGATTGAGAATTTATACATTGAATAGTGGCACTGTGATATCTACAGTCTCAAGCTTGAGGAAAATTCAATTGCAAATTTCATTCCATTTTTTCAATGCATTACATAAGACTTTATACATTGATAAATAGAGAAAGAAATGTCAAAATATTACAATGATGTATGAAAATATTTTCCAACTATATTGTTCATTTGGCAATTACTTTTTTAGAATTTTTTTTGTTATTTTTTTCGTTTTTAATCAAAAAACTCCTCATTTTTGAACTTTGAGTAAACTAGACAGATATAAAAGGTCAAAAAATAAACAAAAATAAAAAATTAAGAAAGCCCGGCAAAAAAAGCTTAAAATTTTTAATTTTACCTTTAGTAAACATTTTTTTTTTTAGAAAAAAAAAAAAAAAACTTTTGTCGATCTTTCCAAACTACACAAACATGAAAAGTCAAAAACTATTGAAACAAATTTTTAGAAAATTTACTTAAGATCATAAAAATTGCCAACATGTGTAAAAAATTATTCATTTTGGGGGAAAAGTACTTGTAAACTTCTTTTGTGGAGCAAGGACCCTCTAGAGTGATTTTTTCCTAAAGTTTCCTAAAGTGCTACAGTGTATGGTTGAGATTTACTGGCAAGTCACATCAATTTTTCTGATGTGACTTGCCAGTAAATCTCAACCACACAATATAGCACTCTAGGAAACTTTAGGAAAATTTCACTCTAGAGGATCTTTGGTGTCTTTTGTGGCCCAAATTATTGACTATTCTATTAGATATAGACTTGTAGTTGACCTAAAAAAATTAAAGACACTAATGGATGGTTCAAATCTTGGATTTATTAAAGAGAATTAAGAAAATAAAATTGCTTATTTATATTTTATGATAACTATACAAAAAAGAAGGCCTTTTTGAACCCCCCCCAAAAAAAAAAAACTATTATTTTGTTTCTTATTTTCCTAGTTCATTCAAACAAGCATAATTAAACACCTTTTATTTCATATCATTTTATTTGTTTATTCTTTTCATTTGTCCTTCTCTTTCCCTCTAGAATCAAACCATAACAAGTACTTTTCCAGCAAACTTTTTCTTTGGGAATAAATTATTTTAGTTGGTTAAAAAAAAAAAAAAAAAACTACTATTTTGTTTCTTATTTTCTTAGTTCATTCAAACAAACATAATTAAACACCTCTTATTTCATTTTATTTTATTTGTTTATTCTTTTCATTTGTCCATTTCTTTCCCTCTAGAATCAAACCATAACAAGTACTTTTCCAGCAAACTTTTTCTTTGGGAATAAGTTATTTTAGTTGGTTATTTAACTTTTTTTTTTTAAAATATTGGTAAAAAAATAGGAAGAGTGATGTTATGGGATGTTTTATTTTATTGGTTATTTTAGGCCATTCCAAACATCCTATAAGTCACACTATAAGATTAATCAACTTCTTTTTTATGCAGCTTTCAATAAGTTAAAAGTTTATAATCAGAAAATAAAAATTAAAAACGCTTATCCCTTACTCTTTAATAATCAATTTTATTTCAATTTATTTAAATCATTTTTATCTAATAAATTAAAAGCAGAAACTACACCACTTAACATAAATTTTCAGGTTGAGGGCTCAGTTTGTTTTGATTATGTTTCCCATCTTTAAAAAAAAAAAAAAAAAAAAAGCCCATAAATTTTCAAAATAACTAATAATTTAAGGGGGAATTATTATTCAGTGTAAATGTTAAAAAAAAAAAAATTACATATCAATAGTAAACTTATGAATATTAATAATCAAAATTCTAAAATTTTTTATGCATCTGCAAAAAAGTTTCTTAAAACATCACTGAATTGTTATATCTCCTAATAATAAGTAAATAAATAACTTCATAAACTACTAGATAGTCCCAAAGTCGCCCCATATATATATATATATATGATCTGGGAATCAAGTAAAAAGTTGTATTTTGCAGCTTGTAAAAAAAGTCAAAAGCTAACTTTTTTGGCATCAAAACTATGCAGGAAGATAGCTAAAAGTTATTTGTAAAATTACAATTATACCCTTCATATATACATTTGTGGGCTAAGGCAAAATCCTTTGAGTGGGGGTATTTTGGTCATTGAATATGATGCGACAGTATAAACAAATATTAACAAAAAAAGTCAAAAAATAACTTTTTACCAACTTCCTAAATGACTTTCTAAAAAATTCAAAAAGTTTAATTAAAAGTCAAAAGTCAACTTTTTTTTTTTTGGTTACATCGGAAAGGAAAAACACAAACAAAGGGTTAAGCTCGTTTAGAGGATAAACCAATAATGTCCCCTACTAGCAAACTTCTAATTTCAACTGGTGGTTCATTTACCACCAGCATATCTTCAGGTTGTTCTGCTCCGAATTTGGCTAGTGCATCAGCACAAAGATTACCTTCTTTCCAAATGTGTTGGATTGTGCATTCGCAGCCTCTTATCAGAATTTTTGCATCATCCACTAAATTTTTGAAGGGGCAATTGGCCACAATTTCTTCCTTCAGTAGCTTCACGACTTGTGTTGCGTCTGTTTCTATCAGAACGTTGGATAATCCTTTTTGTAAAATAACAGTGAGGCCTTTATACACTACCCACAATTCTGTTTCAAGGCTGGTTCCCATTTGCAGTATGCCATAATAGCCGCAGACCCAAGCTTCTCGGTCATCCCGCAGTAGACCTCCAAAGCCTCCTTCTCCTCCAGTTTTCATGCAGCCATCTGTATTTAATTTGATTCGACCCGCAAGAGGTAAATACTAATGAATAAGTCTGTAAAAGGGTCTAGGATTAAGGATTGAGTTAAGGAAAGCTTGGTGGATCTCTGTAGAATAATCTAAAATGAACTTGACACTCTCTTGGTTAGAAGTAGATTTGTCGTCAAACACAAAAAAATTTCTATTTTTCCAAAATTTCCATAAAGCCACAATAAAAACAATGTACCAAGAGATGTCTGTAGTGAAATGAGTTTTGTTTTTAGCATTACTCATGAGCCAATCACTCCTAAGTTTCCCAACCATACTTAAATACCACTTCTTGCCAAAAGTAGTAAACCACACTTCCTTAACTTTATAGTAGTCCCTGAACAGGTGGCTAATGTCCTCAGACCCACTATAATAGAGGCAAGAGGATCATTGGTGAGGCCTCTCTTCATTCTCATATGGTTAGTAAGCAACTTTCCATGGAGTATAGTCCATAAGAAAGCTTTTAGTTTTTGTGGGAGCCTAAGCTTCCACAC